ATATATACTTTTTTTGACTGAGTCTACTGATTTTCTTCTCAATTTCTAACTCGTATCATTTCTGACCTCCTAGCCTTGTCATTTGTACTCTCCCTGTATGGAACACTCTCTTCTCTTTAAAGATCTTATTTCACTAGTTTTTAATGGTATCTCACCAGAAATGGTACTTCTTCTGGGAAATCTTCCCTAGGGAAGGCTACTTCTGTGTTAATTTTCTTTCCTAATCACTCTCATAGCACCTTGTGTTTCCTGCAGTTGCCCTTACCATGTTGTACTTAGCTATTCAGTTGTTGTATTCTCCATCACAATTATAAGGTTCTTAAGGATTTTTTTTTACCTTTATTTTTAGCACACACACAAAAATGTGTTCTGCACATAGTAGGATCTTGATAAATATCTAATGAAACAATAGATTAAAGTACTATACTAGAAAATGACAAATCCATACTTGAAACTCAAGATTTTGGAGTCAGCTGCACAGTGTAGGGGCCATGCAGCTGGTCCCACAAGGCTGACTGTGGGGCTTGAGGCTCAAACTCAGCAGCCTGAGCAACATGTCTGACTCATATGCATCCAACCTCAAAATCCTGAAGGAAGAGAGAGAGATGGAGGAGAAGGGATTGTGGCATGACTATTCCTCACAGGGGGTCCTTTCCCCTCTCCTTTCTTCTCTGTCCCTTTGCCACTCTCTGGCAAGTACATGTACCCTCTAACATCTAGCAAAAAAACAAGAACCAGGGTTTGGGGGCAGGCCCCATAGAGCAGTGATTAAGCACCATGCATTGGGAACTGGATTTCACATGACTGACAGTGGTTGGAATCCTAGCCCAGGTAGGCAGCTTGGAAAACATGTCAGGTGCTTGTGAGTGGGTGCCTGAGAGGATGGAGAAATGGAGGAAAAAGACTGCTGCATGCCACATTCCATGGGGGCGGGGGCTTGCTGTACCACACTCTGGCAGATGCACATGCCCTCTAAGAATTAAAAACACTAAAATTCAAGAATCTCTTTTTTTCTAAGACTACTCTAAGCAACTACACTCTGATGCCTCTATGTCAGAAAACTAATCAAATTTGGATTATAAGGGCAGAATACTTTAAAAAAATAAAGTAGAGGTCAATATGCTCAGGGCAAACTCAGACAAAGCATGTACTTCTTTTTTTTTCTTTTTTTCTTTATTTTATTTTATTTTATTTTATTTTATTTTATTTTATACATTCAAACACATTATTTAGCTTACAAAGGGAATAGTTCAGTATGCGAACATTTCTCCCTAGTCCAGTTGATAAAACTATAAAATATCTTGAACAGATAATACTACATTTCTTTGTCCCATTAATGCTTTGCCTTTGTGTTTTTCTTCTAAATGTCCTTCCTCAGGCCCTACTCTTCCACACACACTATATCTGGTATTTACACCCATTTACTTGTTTGTGTATTCCTCAGTAAATCAGTTTCAGCCATAGAGTGCAGACACTCGGTATATATTAAGTGGGTATATACAGTGTCTCTCCTTCATAGCCTGGCTTGCTTCACTCAGGAGTAAATCTTCCATATTATCCCACTTTCTGTCAAAAGCCAGGTGTTTGTTGTTTTTTTTATGGCTGAATAGTATTCCATAGAGTATTGCCACAGTTTTTCAAAGCATGTACTTCTAATAGAAAAATCTGAAAGACCTGTGCCCTTTGGTGGTAAGACTTATTACCACAGGAAATCAGAGATCTCATATGATTTAGCTATTCTGTGGGCCAAGTCAGTACAAATCAAAGAAATGTATTGTTCCATTTTAAAAGAAAGCATTGACAGGGAAATTGAAGTTTAAATAAAATATTTTTAATAAAAATTTATAATTGATTTATTAATAAAGAATCACACACACAGGAGATTTTTTTTCTCCCTCTCTTTAAAAAAAAATGCAATGCTTTTGCTTAACGCTAAATCTGGAACCATTCAAAAGTAACTCTGCAGTTGTTTGTTTAAAAGTGGGACAGCCTGAGGTAAAAACATTGAGGAGTCCCACGTGCCATTAAAAACAGGCTTTCAAAACACACTTTCCACTCTTCAAACTAGAACTGTCATTCAATGCCTTGTTTTTCATTTTATGTATTTTTTTCAAGTCCAGTTTAAAGAAAATAAAAGATTTTTAGCCCTGGAGAATTATCAGAACAGTTGTTAGTCAATGCTTTGATTTGGCAGTATGCGCATTGTTATTTGAAATCACTTATCATACTTATAAAGAAGTATTAGAGAGGCCCACCTTATCCACAGGTGCACAGGCAACCAGAGCTCTGAAAGAGCCTGGCTCAGCTCACTGAGAACTGTTCAGTGTTCACCAAGGAAAATATACCCCATCGTCAATATGTAGGTAGTTCATTTGTTACCCATCGCAACAGTGAAGTTGGATAGTAGGGAGATTTCTGTTTTTCTTTCTTTCATTATTTAAAAAAAATAGATGAAAAAGTCTTTTTATTTTCTCTTTGACCTAAATCTAGACGTGGTTTGTGTTCAATCTCAAATTGTTCATATATTTTTCCTCAAAGTAAACAGATGAATGCACAATAGTAATCCAATGCCAAGTCTAGCCTAAAAGATAGAACAGGTAACATGGGGCTAAAGTTCAAAATAGCCATACAAGACATGAAGCAAAAATAACTCACCTACAAACAGAAACACACAAGTAGATGAATAGATGAGATAGGCTGGTTCAGGTTGTCCCTGGAGGGGTCAGAGAGTCATTCTATGCTTGATCCATATCTAGATTTTTATCAACTCTATGTCCAGGTAACTGCTAGCAAAATTTAAGTGGTAGGCTGGTGTATTATGCCCATTAAGTTAAAAAGCAAAATAAGTACAATATTAAAATTCTCTAGGGGTTTTATATTCATATTTTATAAGTAAAAAATAAATTGTAAATGTTATAACTGTTAAATTCTTACCTGAAAAATTAAGTAACTCAATAATTGGTCCTTTTTGGTTTTTATGAGTATACAGAGAAACCAGACATACTGTTTAAAATCTAGATTTCTTGTCTGCTACTTCTCTGTGCCTTGTGAAATTCTGACTTTCTGATAGGGCCCAGGAATCTGCATTTCAATAGTATTTCCATCTGTGGCCCTTTTTTTTTGAGAAATAAATATGCTCTAAGTGCATCTTAAAGATTCAGTACTTCTAAATTAGATTTACTTCTACTCAACGACAAATTCTGCTTTGCTCAGTACAGTGTTGTTGGTAGATTCACATTATAGGAGCTCTTTTTACTCTGGGCCAACTTCTTCCTCCTTAGACCTAGCTTCCTCATTTTAAATGGCAGCTTTTATCACTTTCATCATCCGGCAGTTTTTCTTTTTCTTTTTTTTTTCTTTTTTGAGAATTTTTTGCTAGAGGGCACATGCACTCCCCAGAAAGACAGAGAGAGACAGAGAGATAGAAAGTGAGAAATCACCCTCCCAGAGGGGATGGCCACGCCGCAATCCCTTGTCATCCATTCTCCTCTCAGGATCTTGGGTATGCACGCACATGCGCCTGGCATGAATTTAAGCCACCGGGTCTGAGACTCGAACTGCAGTCAGCTACATGGGAGTTCAGCGACATAGCCATTACACTAACTGCTGGTCCTTGGCAGCTTTTCTGAGTAACTGACAAACAAGGTCCTTCACAGACACAACATTCCTCTAGAATTGCTGCATCTGTGTCTTGTACACATCTTTCCCCTGTTATTAATGTGTTTCTTTTATTTATGCTTATCCAGGTTTTACTTGTCCAAAGTCAGACATAAGGACTACTAAAACCCCTCCTGTCCCCGAGTGAAAAGAATCTTCAATCATCCAAACTCCCATGTGTGTGTTTCTTATTACATTTACTGTGTAAACTACTTGTCTGTATATCTTAGCTTCTTTTGTAGATTCTCTGTGCTTTACATTTCTATCCCACAATAATCAAAATGCTTTAAGAATACTCATTGGTTAAAGGGCCTAGGAATGTACACAGTTTGTTGAACTATAACAACTCTGATATCCATGTGCTATTAGCTATTCACCCAATATATACCTATTAAACATCTAACATGTACCCCGCAATCTACTAGGTCTTTTCTCTGGTGGGTACCAGAAAGACAAAATATCTGGATAACAGACTCTGTGTTGGGCTCTTCATTTGGTTTTGTGGGTACCCTTTGTGTGTGGCAGTTAAATGTTTTATTAAATGTTAAATGTTTGTCATGTGAGTAAATAAACCAGAAAATACCCACATCATATAGATTTGTATTTTATCAGTGTTCACATCTGCATTCTGTGTACTATAATATATTAAATTATTTCTTTATTTTAATTTTATTATTATCATAATCTCATTTATATTACATTGAATCACATATAACTTTAAAGCGTATTACATTTCTTTTTCCAGAAGGAATACCATGCATATCAGTCAATACAAAGACATTAAAATCCCCATCATCATCAAATAGCTTTTCATTATTTTTTTCCAGATTATTATTATTATTCCAATTATTTTTATAAACATTCAATTACTGTTTATCATTTTCCTTGTTAAAAGATTTTATCCAACATAATTAAATTATTTATTAAAGTTTATTTTTATTCAAGATAGAGAACACATGTACACACACTAGACTAAGCAGGGGGAGAGAAAGAGAGAAAGAAGCATATTGACAGGCTTTCACACACTGCGATCCTTTTCTCCAGCCCTCTAGCTTGTCAGGATCTTGGGCAGCAAGGCTTGTACCTGACATGTTTTCAGGTCAACCTCGGAATTCAAACCTGCAATCAGCCATGTGTCATCTGGAACTGCAGTTCACTATCAACTGTGCCTCCAGGCTGGGCCAAGATAAATTATGTTTTAGCATCTTGAACTTGCTTTTGGAATATACATGTACATGTACAAATAAACATATACAAGCATTTGGGCAAAGTTTTAAAAATCAAATATAGAAGAGTGTACAAAGTTGAAATAATTTTCTTCTCTTTTGTTCTTGCCATTTCAGATGATGGAAAATTATCCTTTGAAGAATTCAAAGCATATTTTGCAGATGGTGTTCTCAGTGGAGAAGAATTACATGAGCTGTTCCATACCATTGATACACATAATACTAAGTAAGGAACTTTTTCTCAATCACTGGATTCTGTAAATGAGGTAGAGAGAGGGAGCGTACATATCCATGAAATAGAGAGGAAGGAAAGATGTGGAGGGTGCCTTTGTAATACTCACTGATGGTTTAATTCTGACATATACCTTCTTTGTCATTGAAATGCTCTAAAAATTGAATTTGAGTTAGAAAATAATAAGTTTTATAGGGAAATCTCCTAAAGTGGTTTTAGACTATGTCCTTTTGTAAAATATAGAAGTATAGATACTAAAAAATTCTATCATTAATACAAAAGTAGGATTTTTCTTTGTTAACCATCATCTTATTTGTTTTGTTTAAAAATTATCCTTGAGACATTCATGTATTAATGCAGTGAAATGAGGAAATTGGAGCAGTTATGTGGATGTTTCACGTGGGCTGAATTCCAAATCACTGTTACCTGAAAATTGCAGGTACTGCAAGACACAGAAGGATTTCTGAGTAGTCGATGTGTATATTGACTTATCTATTTTATTCATTTTTACCTATATATAAATTTGTTATTTGCATTTGTGTAACATCTATAAAGAGTCTACATATATTCTCACTATGCCTAAATACATAGAATAATTAAGATATTAGAAATTAGAAAAACAGGTGCTGGCAAATGGTGTGGTAGTTAAGGGCACGTGACTCCCACATGGCTGACCATGGTTGGAGTCCCAGACCTGGCGACTTGCTTTCTCCTTTCTTTCTCTCTCTCTCTCTCTTTCTCTCTCTCTCTCTCTCATTCTGTCCCTCTCTAGTCAAATGAAAATAAGTAAATAAAATAAATAAATAAATAAATTTAAATAATAATCATTCTTAAAGAAAAAGAATTATAAAAAAATAGAAAAACAGAAATGTGCTGCTTTGGGTAACTGAACTAGATCACATTATTTGTGGCCATCAAAATCATAAAATTCTAATGTGAAAAGGCACCATTTCAGCAATGCCTTGAGAGCCATCAGCGTGCCTACTGCTTGAGCAATCACTGTCTTGCTTAGACAATGCTGGGATGCTTCCAGGCGGTAAGCCAGCTTGCCAAGTAAATGCTCTTGGGCTACATCTATGAACAGGCATTTTCTTCAGGCAAACTATTAAGAAAAATTAAAAGATTAAATTCACTTTACTCAAGCAGCAGAATATTTTTAAAACAACCAGTTTGTAAGTTTCTTGATTTCAGTGGGGTTTCATATTCTCTATGAAATAGCTTAAGTATTTTATTGCCAGAAATAGTATTTATGTAACTATTGGGGGTGACATCCGGTTCAACAAATCTATCCCATCGAGTCCCTATTAGGTGTAAGAGTGGTACAGCATGGAACCAGCTTATAGTTGAGTGGAGAAATAAACCCACTAAGTGATCATTTCAATATAATACAACTGCTGGGGTTGAGATATGCACAGGAAACTTCAGGATCATAAGGGAGAGAGTTTTAGAACAGTTCATTGGTCTCTGGGAATGTTCATAGGAGCTGAGACATACTGGAAGAATAAAATTTCCTTAGGTAAAGGAGAAGGTGGATCTTCTAATTACCCTAAATTTAATACTATGCATTGTATATTTATATTGAAAAATCACACTGTTCCTCATAATTATGTACAATATCATGTGTTTAAAAAAAAGGAAGGAAGGAAAGGATGGGGAGGAATCAGAAGGAAAATACTGGAAGCTTAAGATGAATAGGAGTAATAAGTATTACTAGAATACCAACTGGAAGATGAATCTGAAGAGGAAAAAATAAGTGAGACAAGATATTTGCCTTCTGTAAAAATGCTTCAACTTTATCCTGTATTCCAATGAAAGTAATTAAGGGGCATGGTGGCGCCCGCCCTATGGCAATGAAAGTAATTAAAGAACTTAATCCAGGGGGCAACCTCTTCATAGGACATTGTGACTCTATTGAAGGATGGACTTAGAGGGGTAAAGATGGAGGGAGACTACAGAGGATAATAGGTGAATCCTTTAAAAACTACATGGAAAGAATGTTTATGCATGGAAGAAAAACTATATTGTACTATTTTGAGCTTCCTCTGTGGCTCAGCTGTTGGAAGTTGAGATGCTAATGTTTCAAATGTATACTAATTATTTCTTTCTCATTATATTATTATTAAAGTTTAACAATATCTGTGTTTGGAATATTTTTAGAGAGTCATAGTTCTAGAATTGACTGTCATGAATATTTTTTCAGTATGTACTTACTAATGTTAATGAAAAACAAATTTTCAGTGGACCTTGTTGCTTGGCTTTGTTCTTTTATTTATATTTTTATTGCTTTGGATTACTTGACACAGTTTTAAGATAACTAAGTGCTAGAGAAGTATATGTAGTGATTTATATAGTAAGTCTAAAGGAATAATTAGTACTACCAGTTGCTCTCATATCTCACAAGTGTTTTCCAATCATAATGATGTTCAACTTAAATTGGAACTAAAGTATATTGGGTAGAGACTTCAGAATTATGTTCATGAAATTCTTTATTTTTTAAGGATGTCAGTGTCAGGCTTTGATCTTTTACAGAGATTAATTCAAACACTGACACTGAAATTTCAGAGCAATATTTTAAGCAAGTAGCAACTTTTATCTTTGCATGATTCAAGTTTTAATTATTTAATGATTGTACTATATAAGCCAGTTTTTTTTTTCCCCCTTCCATATACCTCCTAAGAAAATATGTTCTCCTCTCAAATCCTGCCACTGCTTAACAACCCCAACACACTAAAATTTGATCAGGAGTATAGTCTAGACTGCAAGTGCCAAATCATACTTAGGCTGGACCGAATCCATCAGATTCACTGTCTATCATAACTGATGGTGGGATGTGAGAATCTAAGTCCATGAATATCTGCTATTGGTTCCTTTACAGCTGCCTGGCTCCTTCCCCTTCTCAGGTCAGGTGGTATAATTTCACTTTAGAATCTATTAAATCAGTTTCTTCTTAATAGACTGCATTTTCCTGAGATTACTCAGGTATGATCCTGTCCCTTATGAAAGCATTTTCTAAGCCTGTATTACCCCAGTTAATCGTTGCCATCTATGGTAACCCAAGTCTGTTCATTACAAACATTACCTTTGTCATGTTTGAAAAATATCATATTCATTTTGAAAATATTTGGAAAGAAACTCCTAAGAACATATCCTACTAGTTAAATTTTATTTTTCTGTCTTATGAAAAATATTCTTAAAATACATTTGACCCATGAGAAGCAAATATCGTTCAGAAGCATAATTATAGCCTGTGTGTGTCGATAGTACAATGTGATTATAGTTTGTTTTTTTTTTGTAATGTAGGTATTTTAAATGTCAAAGCTAGTAAATGATTTCTTGGAAAATGGATTTTAAAACCATAATATAAGCCTACAGACTTTCAGAGGTCATGTTTTATAGATAGCTTTTGAATGAACAAACTGTAAGAGTAGTTTAGCAATTTAAAAAGTTTGAAAATTAAAACTATACATATAGTACCATCTTTTTCTTTTCTTTTTTTTTTTTTTGGAGAGGTTTTTGCTATAGGGCGCGTGCGCTCGCCAGACAGACAGAGAGAGACATAGAGACAGAAAGCGAGAAATCAACCCCTAGAGGGGATGGTCACGCCGCAATCCCTTTTCCTCCATTCTCTTCTCGGGATCTTGGGCACACACGCACATGCACCCGGCGTGAGTTTTAAGCCACCAGGTCCAGGACGCGAACCACGGTCGACTACGGGGAGTCCAGCGACATAGCCATTACACTAACTGCTGGTTCCCTATAGTACCATCTTCACACTCATTTAGATTTAGTTTCCAAATCTAACTCTACTGGTTCTCTTTAACTTTATTTATTCATTTCATGCTCTTCATTAAAACAAATTTCACAGTGTTCACCTGATATTATCTTAAGAGGACTTTGCTTCATTTTTTTCCCTGTTTCCTAGAGATGTCTGCATCTGTTCAGTCCAATTTTGTTTCATAGATGCTAAACAAACAAGCTCCAAATATATCCAATCTCATAAGAATTTATAAAAGAGACTATGTGGGAACCAGCAGGTAGCATAATGGCTATGTTGCTGGACTCCCACGTAGTTGACCGCGGTTCGCGTCCCAGACCCGGTGGCTTAAAACTCATGCTGGGCGCATGTGCGTACATGCCCAAGATCCCGAGAGGAGAGTGGAGGAGAAGGGATTGCGGTGTGGCCATCCCTCCTGGGGGGTGATTTCTTGCTTTCTGTCTCTATGTCTCTCTCTGTCTGTCTGGCGAGCGCACGCACCCTATAGCGAAAAAAACCTCTCCAAAAAAAAAAAAAGAAGAGACTATGCAAAATTTTCTGTACGAGTATTACCAATTTGGAAGTATTTGAGGTCTGAATTATACAAAATGTTTTTATGGTACTTCAAATCTAAACTACCAACCACATTTTTCTTCATGTTAAAGAATGTGCCTAAGGTGTTGTAACCACCCTTCCTCAATAGTTGATATCATCTCATGCTAATGAGAACTCTGTCATTCATCCTACTTGTTTGATACTATATTAGAAAGTACATATTTTAGAAATTACATTCCTAATCTACACAACCTGAATATTTAATGCAGAACAGAGACTCTAGAACTAAAAAGGATCTTGAGTCAAGTAGGAAAAAGCTGAAAACATCAGAAGTCCAACTTCCATTACCTTTTTAAAGTTATTCTTTTAAAGTAATCTTCATATTTGGATGTCTGAACATTTTTGTGAGAGGATTTTTTTGTTTTGTTTTGTTTTGTTTTGTTTTTTGTTTTGTTTTTACAAAAGGTAATTGGTGAGAGTAGAACAAAATACTGTCATCTTTCTGTGGAGGGTACTTAAGATATATGGTATGGCAAAGGAGAAAAAGTAAAACTATGTTTTTGTAAAGAGAACAAAATACTATGATTTTGGATTTTTTGGAGAGTTTTTGTTTGTTTGTTTGTTTATTTGTTTTTTGCTATAGAGAGCATGCACTCGCCAGAAAGGGAGAGGCAGAGAGGGAACC